TGAAGAAAAAAAAAAGATCAAATTAATGCATAACACCAACAGATAGTCGTTGGGGAATAACCAGAGTGCCTAGTTCTTTCGAGCTTTCACCTCTCATCATTGGGATTTTGAATGAATGTAATGTTATGATTCTTGCCTTTTGTTAAATTATAATACTTAAGGTATCCGAATACCCTAAAATCATGATTTTTTTTTTTAAAAAATTGACAATTTTTTTGATATTATTTTATAGGTCATCTTATTAGTTTAATAAAAATACCAAGTATTTTATTTTCCATTCGCTACAACAAAAACTGCAAGTGTTTTAGTAAAGGCAAATGCCATAACTTTACACAAGATGTCAAACTTTAAAATGCGTTTTACTCAAATTGTGTTTTTTTTTCTCGAAAAGCTCAAACTCGGACAGCGACTGCTCAAAACGTTTTGAAAATAATTTACTGAAATTTTTTGTGTATGTTCTGTATAACAGTAGAAGTGTTTTGACCTTCAGATTTATCAATCATTGTTTTATTTCAAAATTTACAGTCCCTTATGTGAATAAAAAAACCCTTTGTTTTGTAAGAATTTTTAATAATCACAAAGATAAAGTGCTTTTTTTGTAAAATTTAAAATTATTTTTGGAAAGTCATTTCAAAATGAATAACAAAAAACATCAAAATTAAAAAATTGGGGAATCTTTTCCCATAAAATTTTGTCCCAGAAGGGGCCCTTTTATGTAATTTTTTTTACATTTTCACCATTTTTTTTTCCCCATTTTAACAAAAATTAATAAAAAAATTTTTTTTGTTTTAAATTTTGTTTTTTTTTCCCAAAAAATATACTAAAAAAATTTTAAAAAAAAACCCTAAAAATTTCCCCATATCTCCTTTTTTTTTAAAAATTTACCGAAAGTCGGTTTACCTTGTTGACCCATGTTAAAAACCCGGGGTTTTTTGGGAAAAGAAAAATGGGATAATTTTAAATGATTTTTTAGTCCCCACTTTGTTTTTAAAACACATGTAAAAATTGTTTTGAAATTTTGAAAAAAGAAAATTTATTTAAATACAATTTTTTGGCAAAAAAAATTGAATAATTTTTTTTTAAAAATTTGGTTCCCCCCCTTTTAAAAAATGCCTTTTTATAATAATTTTTTCCCTGCATATCCTCGACCTCTCAAGGCTCAACTAAAATTTTTTGAAAAATTCACATTGTTTTAGAGTTACCACCAATTGAAATAATTATTTGGGGTTTTTTTCTTAAAAATTGTTTTCTTTTGTTGTCGTAAAAAAATGGGTTTAAACCCCCCTTAAGTTATATATTTCAAAAATTCAGTTGGTTTCCCCTTTGAGAGGGTCTAAGCCTACACATGAAAATATTATTATAATAGAAGCATTTTTCAAAAGGAGAACATTTTGAAAAAAAATTTTTCCTTTAATTTTTTTCCCAAAAAATTGTATTTAAATTTTTTTTGTCAAAAAGTCCTTAAAACAATTTTATACATGTTTTAATCTATGGGGGAAATAAATATCATAAAATTATCCATTTATGCGCTTTTGAAAATAGTTCCCAAAATATGAATTGAAAGAGGAAAATATACTTTAATAAATAATAGAAAAAAAAATTGAAAGGTCAGTGGATCCACCAAAAATTTTTTTCTTGCACATTAAAAATACGTATATCGGAATTATACAGATACTAATATTTTATATGAACTCCCATTTTTTTTTCTCGAAAATGATAATAAATTAAAAATTTTTTTTTAAAAAAAGGTTTTGCGACCGTTTTTTTTTTCCCTTTTTTTCTTGTTTTTTTTTTGGGGGCATTCGAAGAAAAGGAGGCGGAACCTCTTAAAAACCATGGTCACCTCCCCAAAATTTGGGCAACACCGACTGAAGGATTTTGAGCATCAACAAAATTTAATGTAAAGCCCCTCCCAAGCGGTCCTTTTAAATTTTAAAAAACCGGCAAAATCGCGGCCAAGTTCCGACGCCACTTGGGCAATGCCCCCTTTTTTTCTAAAATCTACATTTTGTCATTGACAGGTAAGAAGTTTTGGGTTTAAATATCTTTAAATTTTTTCAATCTGAAAATTAAATGACACGTGATCTTCCCAAAAGGGATTTTCGCCGTTAAAAATATTTGATACAGAATTTTTAAAAAAAACATGCTCTAAAATGAAAGGGACCCTCTCCCGGATGAAAATTTTGGTATTTTTAATTTTTATTATTCCACTAAGTTGTTCTTTTGTATTTTGTAACCTTTTTATAAAATAAATCTTTATATTAAAAAAAAGTTAGAATAATCGGAACCAAATTTTGGAAAAACATTTAACGTTAGAATTTCCTTTTGAAAAATTTTATTTAAAAAATTTACCCCAAAAAAGTCTTAAAACCAAAAAACCACTTTTATGAACATGCTTTCTTAAAATCTAAAAATATAATCTTGTTTTTTATTTTACAATTTAAAATTTTTTTTAAAAAACAAAAAAATTTAAAAAAAAATAAAAATCATTCAAAAACACCCGTTTTGAAATTAAAGAAAAATCGTTTAAAATATTGGTTTTCATCTTCAAATGAGATTTTTAAAAATAATATTTAAAAAGAGGTTCAGGGCTGTCTCTTTAGTTATTAATATTAAAATATAGGACTCTGACTTGGGAAAACTTTTTTTTGGAAAAATATTCTTGAAAAAAAAGTTGTTAAAAGTTTTGGTGCGAGTTTTCGCATATTGCGGCTACCCCCAACCAACTCATTTAAAAAATTAAAAAAATGGCAAAAATTTTTTTAGGCGTTTAAAAAACAAAAAATACAACCAAACCTGTTCACAATCAGTTCAAACACAATAATTATACATAGAGGGATCTTCTCAAAAAAAAGTTTTTTTGTGTAAGTTCCCAAATTTTAAAAATTAAAAAATTGTATTTTTTTTTGATGATAGTGACTTTCACAACGTGTAATGGAACATAACAATTTTTAATTTTTTCTTTTTAAACTTTTTTGGGGGTCATTTAAAAATGTTGAAAAAAGTTCGTTATATGGAAATTTCGTTAAAGAGAGATTTATCTTTTAAAATACTTTAGTGACTATACAAAACACATCTTAAATTAATAAACATTATACATTATTTTAAAAAGTAATTATCTACACTTTTTTTGAAAATTAATATGTATTTATTTTATATATTTTGCCCATCAAAAAGAAATCTGCAAGGAGAACAAGGGAAAAAACTGTTAAAATATTCTGTATTTTCAATTTAAAAAAAAATTATATTAAAATTGAAAATTTTTTTGGCGACATTTTCTAATTTTAAGCCTACAAGTAATTTTAAACAAAGTATTTTATAACCAGTAATTTTAAGCATACACTACCACATGCGTCCTTAAATTTAATTATTGAAAATTACTTACTAAAATATACTTACTTATTTACTAATTACTTATAAATTTACTTGAGCTTTTGTTTGAAAAATTATGGCAATTTTATTGCTCTGGATGAGTTTATAGGCACTGGTAAAACCAGTTCAAGAGCATTCATCACCATAAAATGCGTTAAAAAATAAAATAATTTGAAAAATGTCCTGAGAAATATTTTAAAAATAGGGAGGGGAAAAAATCGAATAACAAAAGACAAAGTTCGTTAAATAGAAAATGCACTTCGCTATTTGGAGGTTATATTACGAAGAAAGTAGTAAAATACTCTTGGTTCCAGGAGAAAGTTCGCAAAGTAGAGGTTCTTTATATTAAGGTTTGATTGTATATCGCACTAATTATAATATATCACGGTAGTAGTTATCCTATTCTGTCTTATCTCGCATACAGAAATCAGAATATCTAATTCATTAATTTTATCTGAATCAATATTTTTCATGTATGATATGTGTTCTTTGTTTTATCCTTTAACTGCTTAGTAAAAATAGTTTTTTAATTTTTCATGTTAGAATAAGAAATTGTATAAATCTAAAGAAATTTTCTTCATTTCATGTTCATTGAATAATAAACGGATATGTACGATAAATTCATCTCACATTCTATTAATATTTGGATATTTATTTATTTGAAAATATATTAAAATGTTTAATACTATATATGAATTTAGACAAATACAACTTAAAGCGTTTTTAACTTACATTATTGTTTGTATTCAATTTCCTGAATAAAGTTTTAGAACAATGTTTAATAAAATTATAGTTTAACATGTGTATATTTTTTCTACTTTTTTAAAAATAGGAAACACTATCCTTTTACTTGCGTTTATTTTGCCAATACATTTCCAATGTCCCCAATATGATTTAAGTTCGAAAATTTAAGCAGCCAATTAAATATCTTAAAAAATTTTAAAGCAAGAGCACTTCTAAAAATTATTTATTTCTGAGTATATATTTTCCATTATTTCGTACCTACTATAACGTGAAAAGTTGACATCAGACTTCAAAATAAATCCTTTTGTATGTGAATTATTCTTACAATTTTTTATTCTTTATATCTTTTTTTTCAGAAAAAGGATTTCTTTTAATAAATATATATACTTTGTTGATTAAACCAGTAAATAAAATTAATGCAATAAAAGGGAAAAAAATTTTATTTTTTTCGATACAATATTTTTTTAACGCAAGGAAAAACATTTCGTCATAAATTAATTTACTATCTAAAACCCCTTTTAGTACCGTTAAGAAATTTTTTAATCCGAACAATGAATAATGTATAATATTGTACCAAATATTATTATTATTTTTTTTTCTTTTTAAAATTTTGCATTTCATACCCTCTGAATAAAAAGTTTTACCTAAAACTCACGTACACTCTCTACAGGTAAGTATTTTCAATTTGTGTGCGTGTTTTTCCCTATCTTCCTTTAAAACAATGCAAAAGTTTCGAAGATGAAAAATTACCAAATTTGGGATTAGTACTTTGTAAATTGTACACAATTTGCCAAGAAAATAATTTCAGGTATCACCCTCATCGCGAATGATAAAGAGTTAAAATTAAATAAAATTTTATTACTTAATAAATAAAAAAAATGTTTGGTAGTTGGTGGGATTCGAACCCACGGCGAGATGAACCTCAGATGGTTAGGTCCATTGCCTGGCGCCTTGACCCCTCGGCCACAACTACCGGTAGAACGGAGACAAAACAAAGATTAAGACTTAAAACAAAAATTTTTTGAGATCTATTGACTTCTATCATGGAACAAAATATTTGTTAAGAAATATGTATATGTTACCGTCAAAATGCATTATTCAGTTACTTGATTGGAATAACTAGGTATTTCATGAAATAACAAGACAAGTCCGTTAAAGCATATAATAGATGAAAAATTTCATACTTTACCTAGTTATTCAATGAAATAACTAATAAGAAACCGTTAAAGTGAAAAATAAATAATTTCAAAGTTATTTTATAAATTAAGTGATCATGAATAGCTAAAACCTCACGAAAAATACATTTTATCCCTATTGCGAATGATTAATTGGTAAATAATAAGGAAAAGCAGGTGATATAATTTATTATTGCTAACATTGCATACTGCTAAGATTAGTTAACCAGAGAGGTAAAAAAATAATAAGTTGCAGAAATAGTTATATTTAAATATTATCAAAAAAAAAAAAAAAAAACAAGCTTGGAAGAAAAACTGTTGCTTCATAAAAAATTGTGTAAGATTTTTTCAAACAAAAATGAAAGAAAATATTAATTTAAATTTTATGAAATACCTTTATTTTACTTTTCATTATTTATTAGAGGAAAGATTGCTGTGAATTGCGGCTAAAAACTGACTAAAAGCAGCTAGAACCTGTTCGAAGAACCTTCGAGAGCCTATTTCATGCTTTAAAGATTAAGTAATCGTTATTCTATAGAATACCTAGTTAAATAGTAGAATTCAATAGTTTTATGTACTTTAACTGACTTGTCTAGTTATTTCATGAAATACCTAGTTATTCTATGAAACAATAAACTGCACACTTTAACGGTAACATTTATACTTATTGCACTTATAAATTATTTATAAACCTTAAAAAACTGTCACATGTTACAATTAACTAGTTCTGGAGAGACACAAATTATAATATTAAATAGTTTAGACTTACACTCGATATTTTTCCATCTATTATAATGTAATGAATGCAAAAGTTAATTTTTTAATAAACTGATGAATAAGCATTGGTATACGAAGAGGTTTAGATAAACCTAAATTCTTTAACTGCATTCTTGTGTAGGATGGGGACATCCAACACAATTTTTTTCTCTTTTCTTTCAAAAAGTTTATATATGATATAGATTCTAGCAGTGGCGTAATGGAGAACACATTAGGCCCCTCCTGCAAAGTCAGGTTTTGGGCTCCAAGCCGTATCTTGTTGTTGTTGTGACTAATGCCACCTGATTGGCCAAGGCCAGATCGAGGCCCGCGAAATTCATCATGGTAAAGGGCTAAGTGACGCCTGTTGTTAGCCGTAACTTTGAGCACCATACAGGTGACAGAACAATTTGGCTCAATTCCACCCCAATTTAGAGGGAGAACACTCTGGGGGTTGTCAGAGGCCTCCCACCTCTCTTCCCCTTCCACCAACCTCACGAGAGGACTTGCGGCTCGACGGCTATTTAGAGTACCCCCATGCCGCGCAGGCACTATACATTTACAACCATCCATGTCTTCTCCGGGATTCGAACCCAGTCCTCACGGCACAGCAGTCAGCGTCGCTATCCACTATACCGGATAGGCGACAAGCCGTATCTTACAAAGGGCATCAGTCAGGCTTTGGGCTCCCTAGAATCTTGCCCTCCCCCTCGACGATGCGGGGGTGTACTTTACGCCACTTAATTTCTCTAAATTGAACTACTATTACGCCACTTAATTGAATTAGCAGACTGTACGTTTGAGATCGGGATAAAAAACTAATCTAATGAATTTAAGAGCACAGTTGTTACAAATGAATTAGAAATGAACAGCATTGAATAGGTCAGTGGTTCTTCAACTGTAGTCCATGGACCCCTGGGGTCCCCAGCATCTTTCTAAGGGTCCGCGTAGCTCCATCATTTAATGTTAAGATTTCCCTTTTTTACAGAATCTGAAAGGCCTCGTGGAAAAATTGAAAGATGCATCGTTCTAGACTAGTTCACTAAATTGCCCCCAATGAGAAAACCTACTAGAACATGCATTTCGATCAAGAATATTAATTCTGTTTCTTTAGAACTTGGAACTACATAGCCATTCAGGGCCACTTTTCCGCTTAGGCACGCTAGACACGTGCCTAGGGCGTAAAAGATTTGGGGCTGTAAAAAATTGGTGGGTGAGAAAAGAGAAAAAAAATTATAATTAAAGCGAACGTACCACCTCCTAGAGAATCGTGAGAAACATTTCTTCCTTCAAGAGAGTAAAGACTGAAATGAGATCTACTATGGAAAACGAAAAGCTTAACAGTTTGATGTTTCTATGCACTGAAATGAAGTTATTAATGATTTTCTCGAAAAAAAATCATTAATTTTTTTGAAGAAAATCTTCGTTGTAGAAGTACAATGACAGTAACTCAACAAAGAATAGGAATGTCAAAAAGTAAAAGGTAATAAAGCGATAAGTCATGAAAAAGATGATAATTAACAAGTTGAAAATGTATACTCTTACTGTAATTGCACAATCGATTTCCTTAATTTACCGTACTAATTTACAAAAGGCTGAGTGTTCCAGGATGCCGTGAAGTAAGAAATGACATGAGTGGCCAAACCATTCTACCATTCTTTCCTTACGACTGTCAATCCATGACACGGTGAGGTCCATAGGGGTGAATAATAGCAAGACTATTCAACAGCAAAAACATAGATAGGGAAAAGAGTAAGAAGGGAAAATCCCTCTCAAAACTAAACTGGAAAAGTAATAACTAAAGGAGGAAGGGGGTGCTCTGGAAATAGGGGGCCTAGCTATTGAAGTGCCTAGGGTGCCGGGGAGGTTAAAAATGCTCCTGTAGCCATTACTACATCGTAATATTTTTAAAAATAGTAAAAACACATGGGCAAAGATTAAGAACTGAATTCATAGTGCGTCAATACGATAACGATTGCATTTAAATCATTCAGCCATGCATGGGAAGTCCGGGAAGGGATGTTCAAAATTTTGGGGTTCCACGATGTCAGGATGACACATAAAAGGGCCGCGGTGATTGAAAGTTTAAGAACCACTGAAATAGATCATTAAAAATGGCAATGGCTTTTTTTAAAGAAAAATCTATAACATAAAGAATTTTCAGATATGTTGATTTATTCCAATTTTTCCTTTTTTTTTAAGTTATGTGTCTATTCAACATTTTAATATTTTTTAGGATTTAATGTAATTTTTTTTAGAGAGAGTATTCCATGTATGACCATATTAGTGATAAAAAATTTGGTAATTTTTTTTTCTACCCGAAAAGGA